TAGACGCTCTGTTAACCCAGAACTGACACCATTCCCGAAGCCCCCTCTTCAGACAAAGATTAGACAGGACTATAAACAAAAAATAAGGAATGTGCTTCTTAGTTTAATCAGATATACGAGACCAAATGGGCAGTTCCTGTCCAAAAGCAGGATGAGCTGGCAGGAAGGGACAGGAACTGGTCAAATGGACACAGGGAACCCAGGGTGGAAAGGGGGCATGTGCTGTCACATTGTGGGATTGCAACTAACGTCACAAAACAATGTGTGTATAAATTTTAGTATGAGAAATTAACCTAAGCTGTAAACATTCACCTAAAGCACAAAAAAAGGAAAAAAAATTTAATAATGTTACCTTTTTTAATGTCAAATGATAAAGATGTGACATTAGATTGAAAATGTCTGAGAAAAGTGGTATTACTAAAGACCATATTAAAAGTTTAATTTTAATGTAATCTTTACTAATAATTCTAAGAAATACTTCCTTTCTGGCAATTGACATATAAAAAAATTTTTTTCAATTAAGTGTATGTTTACAAAGCATCATTTTATAAATCAATTTAAAATGGACATCATGTTCAGATTTAGGACTAAAGGTAGTTAGAATGGCTAAATGAGAAACATCACTGTACTCATTACCTATAAAAACAACTTGTACTTTAATGAGTCTTCCTATTAACAGATTCTGTATCATCAGAAGTATTCTTTGAGATACTGTTTTTTGGGGAAAAGGTACCAAATGCATCCTAGACATTTGTTTTACCCATGCAGAATATTCTATTATTATGTAATTACAGAGAGTACCCTAGCATTTGGGTTTGCTTTTAAAATTTTATACTAGGTGCTTTTAGACTAAAAAATAGAAGAAAAAATGGAGTAAATGATAGATAACTGAAATTTTTGCAGTTGGGCTCCTAGAAATAAGGTGGTTTATCTTTCAATTTTAGTGCCTTGTTTCTAAAGAAAGAGAGGAGAGATTTCAAGCTGCTATTTCCTAAAATAACATATGCAAGTATAAATAACGTTTATTGTTAATAAATGGAAAAACAAATCTTGATGTGATTTTATACAATTTTGATTAGATCATTTCAACTTACAAACGTGATGCTAGTTTTTTGAGCTGAACTTGCATAATTACTCTCATTTTCATATTTCTCATTTAGTTATTGTAAATCAGCATCAGTATTCCTTAAGGTTTCCGACTCTAGCCAATCCATTATGGGTATTCATTACACAATATATATAAAAACCAAACCAAACTCCTTGCAGTTGAGTACAGGACAGAGTAGAACTGTCCCATATATATGACTAAAAATGAAAACTATCATGAAAGCTGAAGGTTTAAGATTGTGATAAATAAACACAAGCCAAATATTTAGAAGGTCTGCAATAAAAAGAACCTTAGCATTTAAAACTAACATTGTACTATGTCTATCTCAAAAGGAAATGAAAACAAGCATGTGGGGGAACAGCCACTCTTGTCTACAGGGAAGAAAACTGGTACAACTTCAATGAAGAACAATTTGACAATATAAACCAAAATTAGAAGAACATCCTCTTTGATTCAGCAACTGGGCTTCTAGGAATATGTAGAGATTGTTGCATATTTACAACATGACATATGTAAAAGGTTATTCATTGCAGCAAAATTTATAATAGCAAATGTTTGGAAACAATCTAAGTGTCCACCAATAGGTGATAAACTATGGTATACCCATAGAACAGTTCAGCCTTTAAAAAAAAAAAATGAAGCTTTTTACGCACACATATGAAAAGGTATCTAAGGTACACTGTTAAATGAAAAACAAGCAAAGTAAACAATGTGTATAGTATTATACTAATTACATAAAAGTGAAAGTATATATATACATACACATATATTTATTTTAGATTTAAACTTTTTAATTTTTTATTGAAGTATAATATACATTCAGGAAAGTGTACGTAAATCTAACCTCAAAGTTAAAATGAACACACCCATGTAACTGGCACCCAGAATCTAGGTTCTACATCAAGATACAGAGCATTACTAGCACCCCAGAAGCCTCATCATGCCCCCTTCTAGTCACTAATTCCCCCTACAAGAGTAACCACTGTCTTAATTTTTCACAGCATAGATTATTTTATACTTTATATTAATGGACTCATAAGTATGTTCTCTTCTGTGTCTGGCTTTTTTCATACAATGATATTGTTGTAGGTCATTTGATCTCATTAACTTTACTATTCCACTGTGTAAATAAACCATATCTTATCCATTCTTCTGTTTATGGGCTATAGATAATTCGAGACTATTATAAATCACACTGTTATAAACATTCTAGCATATACATACATATGCCCACATACCTATGAGAGGAATTGCTGGTTCATACAGGCTACATATGTTAAACTTTAGTCTTACACTTTCCACCTGTTCACCACCACAGAACAGTTTAAAGAAATGCTGTTTCCTTTCTTGCATAGTTTTTATTTTCCATGGATAATAGTTGCCTCATTTTTTTCATTTGCTTATTTTTTAAAGTTCTATGTCCAGTTTTTTGTACCTATTTCATTAGATCTATCAAACACCTATTAATGTAATTTCCCAAATACTCAAAATTAGATCATCTATAAATTCAAATATTCTTCTAAAGCCTTTCCTCTTGGAGCCTGCCATGCGCCTGTTCCAGTGAAAATAGGTTGCTTCCCATTCTGTCACACATCTCTCATCCTGGTATTTCACTTCTCCATTCTCCTGATCCTGGTTTTCTGGATCTTTTTTTTTTTTTTTTTTTTTTTTGTTTTATTCTCTGTCATATCCCAAGTGCCTAG